ACAATGATCATAAAACCCTCCATCAGTATCTTGGCATTACGCAACATCTTCAAACAAAAAATTATAGAATTTGCGCAGAATAGAGACTTACATTATTATTTAAATAAAAATGTAAATGCCTTGTCTTGGTTAGAAAAATTGAAACTATTACATAGAATTTCAGATGGACTTATATTAGTACACGACAATCAAATTATTTATAGTGGTAATATTCTTATTAGCCAGAATATTGAACCAACGATCTCATATTTAGGAATAAGCAAACCTGCAAATGAATCATTAGATAATAGTTCAATTTATGGAATTGTTCCATATGTTGCACCAGAGGTACTAAAAGGAGGAAAGTTTACAGCACTTTCGGATATCTATAGTTTGGTATGATTATCTGGGAGGTAATAAGTGGCTGCATGCCATTGAAGATACAAAATAATTTTTATTGAATTTCCATTTTGGGTATAACAACGTTACAATTCCACAACGTTGTTGAATTATTTCCACAATTGTGGAAATAAGTCCCCTGCATCGCTAAGAGATGTGTCTTATTTTTTGTATTTGAGGTTCTGTGCAATTGTACAAAAAAAAAACAAATGGCTGTAAACAAATTTTTGAATAAAAATGAATGAAAAAAATTTGATTGAGTATCTTAATGATGGATATAATTACTTGCGCATGGGCTATGTTGAATGGGTATTTAATGACGGTATTCATTATGAAAGGGGAATTGGTGTTGAAAAGGATGAGAAAAAGGCGTTCAAACATTATAAAAGGGCCGCAGACTTGGGCATGTTAAAGGAGTTTTTAAAGTTGGGTATTGCTATCACTATGGAATTGGAGTTAAAAAGGATGAGCATAGGGCATTCGCACATTATCAAAAATCTGCCGACATGGGTCATGCTGAAGGTGCGTTTAACATTGGGCGTTATTATGAGAATGGAATAGGAGTCAAAAAGGACGACTACAAGGCATTTGAATATTATCAAAAATCTGCTGACATAGGACATGCTGAAGGAGCAATTAATGTTGGGCGTTGTTATGAAAATGGAATTGGAGTCAAAAAGAACGACCGCAAAGCACTTGAGCATTACCAAAAATATGCCGACATTAATCATATTGAAGGAGTATTTAATATTGGGCGTTGTTATGAAAATGGAATTGGAGTCAAAAAGAACGATTGCAAGGCACTTGAGTATTATCAAAAATCTGCTGGCATGGGCCATGCTGGAGGTGCATTTAACGTTGGGAGTTGTTATGAAAATGGAATTGGAGTCAAAAAGGACGGCTACACGGCGTTTGAATATTATCAAAAATCTGCCGACATAGGTTATGCTGGAGGCGTATTTAATGTCGGGTGTTGTTATGAAAATGGAATTGGAGTCAAAAAGGATGACTACACGGCATTTGAATATTATCAAAAATCTGCCGACATGGGTCATGCTGGAGGCGTATTTAATGTAGGGCGTTGTTATGAACATGGAATTGGAGTTGAAAGGGATGTGTATAAGGCATTTATTTATTATCAGAAAGCCAACAGAATGACATATGTTGCTGGGATATATAAAGTTGGTTATTGTTATCAATTTGGAATAGGGGTCAAAATGAGCGTGTATAATGCATTCATATATTATCGAAAATCTGCTGCCATGGGTCATGCTGAAGGTGCATTTAATGTTGCACGTTGTTATGAAACAGGAATTGGAGCAATTGAAAAGGATGATAAAAAAGTGTTCGAGTTTTATAAACAAGCAGCCGACATAGGACATGCTGAAGGTGCTTTTAATGTTGGGATTTGTTATCAAAATGGAATAGGAGTCGAAAAAGACGACTGCGAGGCACTTGAGTATTATCAAAAATCTGCCGATATGGGTCATGCTGAAGGCGTATTTAATGTTGGGCGTTATTATGAAAAAGGAATTGGAGTTAAAGTCGAAAAGGACGATTGCAAGGCATTGGAGTATTATCAAAAATCTGCTGCCATGGGTTATGCTGAAGGTGCATTTAATGTTGCGCGTTGTTATGAAAAAGGAATTGGAGTAATCGAAAAAGATGATAAAAAAGTGTTCGAGTTTTATAAAAAAGCAGCCTACATAGGACATGCTGAAGGAGCTTTTAATGTTGGGATTTGTTATCAAAATGGAATTGGAGTCGAAAAAGACGACTGCGAGGCACTTGAGTATTATCAAAAATCTGCCGATATGGGTCATGCTATAAGACTTTTGCAGGTTGGTAATTGTTTTAGGGATGGAATTGGAATTGAAAAGGACGAACATAAGGCGTTAATTTATTATCAAGAATCAGCAAAGATGGGAAACGCTGATGGAATATACAATATTGGTTATTTTTATGAACATGGAATTATAGTCGAAATGGATGAATTTAAGGCGTTCGAATATTATAAAAAATCAGCGGATATGGAACATGCTGAAGGGGCGTATAAGGTCGGTTTTTATTATAATAACGGAATCGAAGTCGAAGAGAACGAACGTAAGGCCTTCGAATATTATAAAAAATCTGCGGACTTGAATCATGCTGAAGGGTCATATAATGCTGGTAGCTGTTATCAATGTGGAATCGGAGTCATAAAAAGTTATTATGAGGCATTTAAATATTATAAAAAATCTGCAGACTTAAAACATGCAGGGGGGGCATTTAAAGTTGGTTTCTGTTATTTAAATGGAATTGGAATTGAAAAGGACAAACACAAGGCATTCGAATATTTAAAAAATCTGCAGACATGGGTCACATTGATGGAATTTTTAGTGTTGGAAATTGTTATCAATATGGAATCGGAGTTGAGAAGGACGAACGTAAGTCCTTCGAACATTATAAAAAGTCTGCGGACATGGATCATGCTGATGGAGTATTCAATGTTGGAGATTGTTATTCAAGTGGGATCGGAGTTGAAAAGGACAAATACAAAGCATTCGAATCTTATAAAAAATCTGCAGACAAGGGCCATATTGATGGAATGAATAAAGTTGGATTTTGTTATCAACATGGAATCGGAGTTGAAAAGGAAGAATGTAGCGCGTTCATTTATTATAAAAAATCAGCTGACGAAGGTGACGCTATTGGACTATTTAATGTTGGTATCTGTTAGAAAAAGAAATTGGTGTCAAAAAGGACGAGCGCAAAGCGTTTGAGCATTATCAAAAATCTTCTGAACGAGGTCATATTGATGGAATATTTAAGGTCGGTTATTATTACGAACATGGGATTGGCGTGAAAAAGAATGAACATATAGGCTTCGAATATTATCAAAAATCTGCGAACATGGGTCATATTGATGGAACTTTCAACGTTGGTAACTGTTATCGAAATGGAATCGGAGTCGAAGAGGACTATTCTAAGGCGTTTGAATATTTTCAAAAATCTGCAGACTTAAAGCATGCTGAAGGAACATTTAATGTTGGTCTATGTTATCTATATGGAATTGGAATCGAAGAAAACAAACACAAGGCATTCGAATATTATAAAAAATCTGCGGACATGGGTCACGTTGATGGAATCTTTAGTGTTGGAAATTGTTATCGCTATGGAATCGGAGTCGAGAAGCAAGAAAGTGAAGCCTTTGAATATTATAAAAAATCTGCGGACATGGGTCATGTTGATGGAACATTTAATGTTGGATATTGTTATTCAAGCGGAATCGGAGTCGAAAAGGATGAGCAGAAGTCATTTAAATACTATGAAAAATCTGCCAATTTGGGTAATCCTGAAGGAACACGTAATTTAGGGATTTGCTACGAAAAAGGAATTGGAATAGAAGATAAACAAAAGGCATTCATTAGCTATCAAAAATCAGCAAACATGGGTGATATTGCTGGAATGAAAATGATAGCCCAGTGCTATCGAAATGGAATTGGGGTTAAGAGAGATTTACAGAAATCATATCATTGGTATCAAAGGTAAACCTATTTTACTTATATTTAATAAATGATTTAAATGAAAGTATTGATTTTATTAAATAATTTGAACAATTAGAATGAAAAATTCGATAACGGGTAAGCTATATTTCAACTTTAATTGCTATTGGTTTAATATATTAAATCTGTACTTTTTCTTACAGTAAAATATGAGGATGCATTTAAAAAATTTAACGTTGATGGCGATTTAAAAAAATGCTAACCGAAAACAAATATCAACTGCCATGGATTCCCTATGATGAATTTGAAAATATTAATAAAATGGAAGAAGGTGGATTCGCGACCTTATATATTGCAGATTGGCGTGATAAAAGTCAAGGAATGCAAATATCTGTCGCTCTAAAAGTTCCTAAATCAAAAGATCATAATGAATTTGTTAAAGAGTTGAAAGCATATTGCGAAATAGGAAGCGTAAGTCCTACGTTTTTAAAATGCTATGGAATATCGAGAAATAACAATGGGAATTATATCCTTGTTTTAGAATATGCACGAATGAAATCTTTAAGCAAAAATCTTGACAATATGTTACAAATGGATTGGATGAAAAAGTTAAAATTATTGCATTGTATAACCTCTGATCTTGAAGCAATTCATTCTCAAGACTATGTTCATAGAGATCTGCATAGCGGTAACATCTTGCAGGATGATATAGATAATGCGTATATTGCCGATTTAGGGCTTACGTCACCTGTAAAAAATGAAAATGAAATCTTCGGTGTCGTACCTTACATTGCACCTGAAGTGTTTTCAGATAAAAAGTACACGCAATCTGCAGATATCTATAGTCTTGGAGTCATCATGGTGGAAATATCGACTGGAAGAAGGCCTTTTGATGGTCACGAATACAATAATGAACTTGCGATAAAGATTTGCAACGGGTTACGCCCTGAATGTTCACATATAACCCCCATGTGCTATGTTGAATTAGCCAGACGATGCATGGATTCTGATCCAAAGGAAAGACCCACCGCTAAATATGTTAACGCGTTAGTTAACACCTGGATTGAAGAACTTTCAAGTATGAGCACTAAAAATAAAATTAAAAAACAATTTTTAGAAGGTGATAAAAGAGTCGAGGAATTACCGAAATACACTCAGAGACACCAAGATCGCATTGACACTAGTAAATCGATCAACATACGTGAAATTACAAAGTATGTCAGCAAACCAATAGTGATCAAATCAATAGAGATTGATGATGATACTGCTTAAAAAAATTTTATAATTTTAAATGGAATTTTTTAATATTTAAAATTCTCAAGCACCCACTCAATGAATCTGAGAAAAATTTAATTAGTCGGAAATAGAGCAAGCTAACCATAACATTAAATTAATAAAATCTGGAGATTAAAACCATGGAGTTACTCTGATTTGCTAAAATTTAGTTAATCGATCGCTAGCTAAATACATTGAGTGAGCTGCTTGAGAACACCCACAATTGTAAAAGATGCGACATAC